GAAAGAGAAAAAAAATTGATATATCCATCAGGGTTATTCCATATATGCTCACTTTATAATTATTTTTAACACTAGTTGGCGCTAAAACGTTAAAATTCAACATAGCATCAGAGCACTTAAATAAACATGATATTGCTTCATCAACATGATGTTGATTTATATGCTCTGTCACTGATCTCTATAATAACCCAGATTTTATTATAAAGATCAGTGTGCTCTGTGTGTAATGCCGGAAGTTCCGTGTGTAAGTTCCGTGTGTAATTCCGGCAATATCCATTGCCGGAAGCCGGCAGTTAAGGCGGAAGTTGAGCCGGAAAATGGTAAATTACACGCACGCGCGCCACGTAGTTGGATAATCTAGAACTACGAGTAGAAATAACATTCATCCTCTGACATGTAATGACTTGTTTACGTTTGTTGAAAATGACAGAATAAGCAACAATCTTCTTGATATACAGCGTAAATATTTATTTAGGTAAACAGATCAGTTTCATATTGACCGTACAGTTCAAAATTAGGCCTAGCTAAGGTGAATTTGCACCGAACGTTGTCTCGAAAGTCCACGTATATGCCATGGTGGCTGTAGCTCTAGTACTATAGCCGCTTACATGCTGCTAGCGGCAGTTCATGTAAGCGGCTATAGTACTAGAGCTATGGTGGCTGGTGCCCCCGGCTGCGTGTTTCGTCATCTCCTTTAGGCTTCCTATGTCTATTTGATTGACTCTGTCTCTTATCGTCTTCGATATATACTATATTAATATTATACTAGTCTACTCAATGATTCCTAGTTTAGGTTCCCGCAAATCTGCTAAACTGGCAAAGGAAATTCGAATAAGGACACATTTTGATATACTGCTATTCGCACCGCGGCTGTGCGAATTAGATTTTCAGTTTTCTTATATGCACCGCGGCGGTGCGAATTAGATTTTCAGCTTTCTTATATATATGCACCGCGGCGGTGCGAATTAGATTTTCAGTTTTCTTATATATACAATGTTTCCCCTGCACGAACGAGGTGGCCGCCTCGCTCAAATCTCAGCTGCCACGCAGAAATTTATCCAAAAACACCGCCTCGCTGACGAAAATCACTGTTCTTCCATCAATAAACTACACTTTATTGACAGCGTTCGAAATTAGTGCTGACCCGGAGCTCCGAGGCCACCAAGATTTTGCTTCGGCCACCATCTCTACAAACCCCCTCATATTACCTTTTCCCCTCATATTACGCTGAAATACTACGGTTATCGCAACGGCAGTTTAGACAGAATTGTAAACGGGAGCGCATTCTAATACGCTCTGTTCCTGAACGTAGAGGTGGTATCCAAAACATCTAGAGCCGAGGGAATGAACTCCCTCAACGCATGATTCGCCACACGAACAAAACCTCGTGACAGTCTAAGAAATCGATTGCGGCGGCATGTACCGTAGCCCAGTGTTTTTATGACCGCATAACAATAAGTTCATATATGTCGCAGGGGTTATCGTGGGGAGTGAGGGCACGAGGGATCAACCCCGCGATAAGCATGATTATATACTGTTGAACGTTATTATTTATTTCCGTATTGCAGGTAACGGCGCCGTCCACGATGGACCTCACGCTCCTCACGTACGCCACGTTCGTCGTCATGGCGGCAGCGGCCGCCGGCCTGCACTACGCGACGCGCTCAAAGCCGAACCTCACCGCCGTCAACAATCCCGTGTTCCTCGACTTTCAGCGAGGTTACTTCCTCGCGTACTTCCCGGCGCTGTTCGCCGACTGGCTGCAGGGCCCGTACCTCTACAAGCTGTACAGCGTCTACGGATTCACCGAGTCTCAGATCGCGATCTTGTACGTGTGCGGCACCGCAGCGAGCGTCATCGCCGGCTACGCCGCCCCGTCTGTCGCCGACCGCGTTGGCCGCCGCGCCCTCTCTCTCGCCGCCGCCGCTGCCTACGCGCTCTCCTGCCTAATGAAGCTCTCGCGGGACTACTTCGCGCTGCTCTCGTCGCGGGCGATGGCAGGGGGCGCCGCCGCGCTGCTTTTCGCCGCGCTCGACGCGTGGTGCGCACACGAGCACACGGAACGTCACGACTTCCCCGGGGAGTGGCGGGCGGCGACAGCGTCGCGCGCGGCGCGCTGGAACGCATGGCTAGCCGTCGCCGCCGGACTCGTCGCTAACGTTGTCGTCGTTGCCGCCGGTCCCGCGTCGCCGTACGTCGTCGCCGTCCTCCCGCTCGCCGTCGCCGCGGCGACGATCGCCGCTCGCTGGCCCGAGAATTGCGCGACGACGATGACGAAGCCGGCGCGGCGGTCGTGCAGCGGGGAGGCGCTGCGGCGCGCGGCTCGGGACGAGGCGACGCTGCTGCTAGGGGGCGTGCAGGCGGCGTTCGAGAGCGTCATGTCGATGTTCGTCTTTCTCTGGACGCCGATCCTCGACCCGGCGCGCCCGCCCCTCGGAGTCGTCTTCGCCGCGTTCATGCTCTGCGTCATGGTCGGAGGCGCCACCTATGAGCTGCTGCGTGCGCGCGTCGCCGCGCCGACCCTCCTCGCCGGCGCCATCTCGCTGGCGATATTCGCAATGCTGCTCTGCGTCGGCGCCACGCACCCGGAGAAGGCGAGGGCGCCACTAGCGCTCGTCGGGTTCGCGGCGTTGGAGGTCGCCATCGGGGTGTACTTCCCGGCGATGGGGTATCTACGCCGGCGCCTCCTGCCGGACGCTCACCGCGCGGCGATCGTCGGCTGGTTCCGCGTGCCGCTCACTGTGCTCACGTGCGCCGGACTCATCTTCCTGCACGGCGACGTGACCGGCCACGGCAACCGCATCATCCTCATCATCTGCCTCGTGCTGCTGCTCGTCGCCATGGCAGCCGCCGTCCGGCTGCTGAAGGTCGTGTCGAACGACGAGAGACTCGCGACGACGGAGGCGGAGACTAACGAGCCGATCTAACGAGGCGAGGCTCTAACGAACCGATCTAACGAGGCGAGGCTCTAACGAACCTGGTGTCATGAGTCGCGGCTCTAACGAACCTGATGTCATGAGTCGCGGCTCTAACGAACCAGGTGTCATGAGGCGTGCCTCTAACAAACTGTTTTAATGAGGCTAAAGCTGGCCTTGGGTCGGATTGCGATTGAATGCTACGCGACACGAACGCACTGCAACTCACTGTGACTGAGTGCTTGGGTCGACAGAGGCGCCACCTATGAGCTGCTGCGTACGCGAGTCGCCGCGCCGACCCTCCTCGCCGGCGCCATCTCGCTGGCGATATTCGCAATGCTGCTCTGCGTCTAACTGCGTCTAACTTAGCGCTAACTGCATCTAAGGCCGGCTTAACATTGATATCGTTTCACATGCCTTTATGCATGTTCAGGTATATTTTGATGATTGCCAGGTGTAACTGTAAGCTGGGTTGTAAATTTTCAATGGGATGTAAGTGCGAAACTCGACCTGTAATATATTTTATCCTATGACAGAGTGTCATTTCACCTAAAAATCTCGCTCCCCAGATGCTCGCTCAACTCGCCGATTACAATGTTCCTTGCGCGATGTACCATTGTTTCGCAGAGCGCAAGCTATCACATGCACAAACAAACCTTACGCGTAGAGCAAAACGCCCATGTAATTGTACATGTAATAATATCGGCCCTATTAAATACGATATGTCACGAAGTACATATCACTTGTTGATGTGTAAAAACTACAGGATAAAGATATCTATTTTGTATACTATTATGAAATTTGATGACACAAATGTGTGTGTGCGTGCGTGCGTGTGGTGTCCCTATGCCGCGGGACAAATTTTATCCGTTATACGAACAACTTTTTACACGACTTTAACTAAAACTTTTACTAACGGACTTAGTGAACGCGCTCCGCGCTAGCACTCGCGATTTGATGCGAGCCGGACTTCAATCAAAGGACGCGCTGCGTATGATGATGTAACATCACTAGGCGTAGGATACACGCGCAAGTGTATCGATCGTTTACAGCCTAGATTCAGCCACAAAAGAAACAACATGAAACCGAAGTGGTAAATTTTTCTTTTATTTCATTTTATGTCCATTTATATTAATAAACACGCAGTATGTGTTTACAAATAATCATCGTAGGCACAGTAATACATTATCAATGCATAAAGCATATGAACTGCATAGAATTTGCTGTGTTTTTGTAGATAACTCTCATATCCGGCAAATCATATCCGGATGGTGTGCCGGTGCGACTGTGGCCGGATAAAAGGAGTCGCACTTTAACATGGATGGGGAGCAACGAATACAACAAATTCTATCAANGCGCGTATATCTGTATGTTTGTGTGCCTGCGTGCTCGCGCGCGTATATCTGTATGTTTGTATGCGTGCATGCTCGTGCGCGTATATCTGTATGTTTGTGTGCGTGTATGCTCGCGCGCGTATAAGTATGTTTGTGTGCCTGCATGCTCGCGCGCGTATATCTGTATGTTTGTGTGCGTGCGTGCTCGCGCGCGTATAAGTATCTGTTTGTATGCGTGCGTGCTCGTGCGCGTACATCTGCATTATTATTTACCGTTCAACAGTACTGTTGTCATGGTAACAACCATGCAACGCATCAATTCCTACCCTCCCCGTGTGATTTCTTCTACCGGCCGTATAATTCCATTGTGTTTTTCGCCGCATTTCCATTGCCGCATGTGGGCATGTTTACTGGCCGCATTTCTATGTGCCTCTCACCAATCATGGTTGTTATGATTACTCCTACTCGCAAAATGGGCGCCTCCGGCGGCCATATTCGCTCGTTACGCTGATGAGACTACGATGATTTCTCTAAATCCCGGCCCGATTCATAGTAATCTTTTAGTAAAATATTGACTTGATACGAAGACAATAATACAAGGATCCTGTTACTAATATAACATTTTCTGTCCCGGTATATTCATTTCTATATAAAACACTTTTACACACCTTCGATTCCATTGTTTTTCTCTTCAAATTAAGGCTAATATAATACAGTCCGACCTCCTTTATCCGGCCACGTCGGGACCGGCACCCATCCGGATATGGGATTTGGCCGGATATGAGAGTTATGCTCAAACACAGCATTTCTATGCAGTTCAGTAGGGTTTATGCATGTGATAATGTATATATATAGATAGATAGATAGATAGATAGATAGCAAAATAGATAGATTGATAGATATTCGCTAAGTGCGAGCGTGCAGGTGGGAAAGGACTTGATTCCACAGCCAGCGCGTGTCCCCTGGCGAATCCACTGCAAGGTTACGCGACAGACTACTGTATCCCTTAGCCTGTGGTTGCGTGTTTGTAAGTTTACAGCCAGCGCACCTATAGCGCTATACTAGCGGAAGTGAACTGAATCGTGCATGTTTTCCAGGGAGATTTTCCATTATATTTTCTAAATATGGTTTTTTAAACATATAACCCAATAAATGACAAACAGCAGTGTTATAGAATCGAACCTGATGCTTAAGAATGAAGCAGGAAAATTTTCAGCCGGATTCGTGCACGCGCCTAGATGTTATGCATGCCAGGAACAAACAGAACGACACTACTCAAATTATTATATAGATACTGCTTAAGGCTGTCGCACACCTACCCAAAAATCGGTCCGATTAAAAAATCTCTTCATCGTTTGTAAAATCGGCTCATCGCGACGCTTTCCGATAAACACCCGCACACATACGATAAAATTGATTATTTAAATCTCCCTCAATTTCGTTCGTCCACGCTTTTTCTATGGTAGGCGCCATTTTGAATGTCATGTGACACGGGCACGTTCAGCTATTGGCTGTTCAATATTTATCGTAGACGATTTTCCTGAGTTCACGCGCACACCACAAAATCTTGTCGGATTACTCAAAATCGCTTCAAAATAATCGGTTCAAAATCAAACATATTTGATTTGGAACGATCACCCGATAAAACTAATCGTAAGTAAAATCGTCTACAAATGAACGCGCACACCTACCCGATATCGGCTGATTTTTATCGGGCCGATCAAATCGCGTGAAAAATCGGTCGCACACCAGCCAATACCCACACCAACTAACTGGTAGAGCTCAATTTTATGTAATAATTTTGGTAGCACTGTTCCATTGTTTCAGTCATTTAAGTAAATATAGAAACATTACGTGCCTTAGCTGGTGTTATTTNTCCCCAATACTCGCGTGCGCGCTTGTTGAGTTTGTGTTACGAATTTCCTGATGCGATTCGTAGGTGGCGACACTGTTGCTGGCCGCAGTGACGTCAGCGGCGCCGGCAGACGAAGCCGACAAGGTCGCGGTGAGAGTGAAGCGCACCGTGTTTGGGGTGGATTTCGGCTGCCACGTCGTAGAACACTTACTGGACTACTTCCACTGCGGCGGTTGCTACGGGAGGAGACGCAAGCGAGAGGTCGGTATGATATGCAGCAAATTGTGCCAATATGAAGTGGCAAACTGTGAGGTCACGAAATGAGAACGACCCGCCGGCACACGCCTAAAGTGTCGCTACACTAATACAGCCAAGGCCGGATTCAACTAGTGCGGGGCCTGGAGCATATATATATGTATGTTATGAAGGGGTTGGGAATTTGGAAAACACACAAATTTAAGTTAATCTAAATCTAACACATTTGTAATGGATTTACTGACAAATAGACTAATGTCAGCACTCATTATTGTATCAGGTGTACGTGTATACTAAAAATAAAAATAACTGTTGTTTAAACAAAATCTAACTATTAGATAGTTCATGATATTACGGGGCCCCTAAAACTGCGGGGCCCCTAAAACCTATATCTATTGTTATACTACTGGTATACTACTGCTACACTATTACTGTATTTACTCTCTATCGTCATATATACATAATACATAATATCTATACATAATAGATGCTCGCACGCACACACGCGTACTCACGCACGCTCGCACACATGCACACGCACGCACGCACGCGCACGCACACGCACGCACGCACGCGCACGCACACGCACGCACGCATGATAAAGACATAACATAATCATACATGCACCTGAATCTATATATATAAAGTTGTTCAGCCGAATTAGTCTTTTATCTTTTGATTTCTTATTATTTTTTACTGTTTGCAATAGGATGGGATGGGATGGAATGGGATGGGATGGGATGGGATGGGATGGGATGGGATGGGATGGCATGGCATGGGATGGGATGGGATGGGATGCGGTGCGATGGGATGGGATGGCATGGCATGGCATGGGATGGCATGGCATGGAATGGCATGGCATGGCATCAGATGTCATTGGATAGCATGGGATGCGATGAGATGCGATGGGATATGGGATGGAATGCGGTGCGGTGGGATGGGATGGGATGGCATGGCATGGAATGGGATGGATGGATGGATGCATGGATAGATAGATAGTTCGATTTTTTTGGGTATTTTCTTTTCAACCAAGCGTTCACCAACTGAGTAACGCCACTGATTTCCCCGGGCAGCGCCGGGTCTATACACTATACACTATACACTATAACTATTTTGTCCATACACTTAGCTCATTGACACATGAATGGACGAAAAAAGTTGCGTTATAAATATTTTCAGCGTTATTCGGCAAGAGGTGGCGCCACCGTACAGTGATTTGATCTGCGCGGATATGCAGGTGTATTTTTCGCGGAACTCCTTTATCTCCCGGTATCAATCACGGAACGCACACAGAAATAAACATTAAATAAAGTCTGGCGGTGACGAAAAGAATAAGCCGTCTAGAGAGAGAGAGAGGAAGAGAGAGAGAGAGAGGAGAGAGAGAGAGAGAGAGAGAGAGGAGAGAGAAGAGAGAGAAGAGAGGAAAGAGATAGAATAGAAGAGAGAGAGAAGAGAGAGAGAGAAGAGAGGAGAAGAGAGAGAGAGAGAGAGAGAGAGAGGAGAGAAGAGTGCGCACAGATTGGAATCAATACAACCATCAGCATAAAACACAAAACAAGTTGGCATGTATATGTCGCTTCTAATGTATGGCGCTGATTGCTACACAGAGCGAATAGCGAGACGCTATCAGCCCAACGTTCGCGCAGCAAATCACGGCGTGTCGAGAATCACACTCGTATTCCTTGTCACTGCCGGCCATCAGTTTCTGCCATAAACCCTAATAACGTCTAAAAGCCACTTCGCTGCGTTATACGAGGCGTCGTTTCTTGGCAATCTAAGACTACTGAGTGGCAGAACAATCTAGTAGTAGTGGTCGTAGAGGCAGCGTGGCGTACCTCTAGGGGAATTCAAGCGGCAATCAAATAACTAGAAAGATGCTCGCGCTCATAACTGATGCCTATCGCTATCTAATACAATGCGATTCAATTTCAGTTATCTTGGATTTTGTGGGCTTGTCGCGTGCGCATGTCTTATAGCATGTTACATGTCTCTGTTTTTTGTCGAGTTCCCTGGAGCTTCTCCATTAGCTTCTGCTCTGTCTATGCCTCTCCTAGAATTTCTACGTGAAAGGTCGGCTGTCACGCCTGCACACTG